AACAATACTAGAATGTTATTTTAGCTATTATAGTTACAAATTCATTTTACTAATTCAAAAAATAGCAGTAATAAGTTGATCCAGCATAGACTTGTGTTCTTACAATAAGATTGTTAAGAATTTATCTTAATCCACAACCGTGTCCTTCTCTTCGGATATGTTTTCAAAGCCGCATCACAAACTATGGCTGATTCAGACACTAATGTAATTAAAGCGGGAGGGTCATCACCTGCGCACGCGTGGGAATTCAGTCCGAAGCGACGATAACAACACACGCTAAAGGCAAAGGCTCATGGGTAGACGCTTGTTTGTAAACAACGACACGCTATGGCCGTCTGCCGCATGCGCAGATGATGACTCCCCCGCTTTAACCTATCTATTGACAAGTTATGCTTTACTGTAAGTGAGCTAATTCATACTCAGTTTTCAGTCAAGTGCCCGCCAAATATCTGGCTAAGTATTTAGTAAGATTCTCAAGCAGGAACGTGTAAAATTACTTTCACATGAAGCTTATTTAGAAAATGCGAAATGCGAAAATTGCCAAGGGGGAATCTCGTCTCGTCTCTCTATCGCGTCCCCTTGAGGTACGGGATCGGGAATGTCACTTTAACTTTACAGTCAAATAAGACACACACAACGAAATACGTTTCAGCTCTCGTCTTAGTCGATCTTTTGGAGCACTCTATAAGACACAGCGCCCTGGGGAAAAGTCCCCAAGACTCTCACAAGGCTGAACCAAGACTCGCCCAAGACTAGACTGCCTCAAGGCTCGCCCCAGGACTGGACTCTCGACTGCACTGTCTCTACTGCGTCTATCGTGGAGTATTCGCCAAGACCAACTCAAACTCTCTTTATTCATTTTCAAAACTCTAACCAATTACAAAACAGTAAAAAGACTCTAGGGCGTAACCTTCAATCATAAAGCCAATCACACTAAGTACTGAATACGTCATATCTTTTGATTAATCGTTCACTACATTAATAGCTATGGATATAAACTGTCAGAATGAGTAATTTAAATAGCGGCGGATATCCGGTAATTAGTTCCAAATCACTGAGCCAAGTTCCGTCCAAAACTTCAAATACACCTAAACGATGACAGACATAACACAGCAATTCGCTAATAATCAGCTAATTAAGTCGGTCAACAGATACGCAAAAACAAATTCATGACAGTGTTTCCAAGACGACATACGTTTTTGATAACGAAGTTATATATCGAGGGGATACGACTAAATGGTTGTGTTATTGATAAGGTTATTTTTTAGGATATTCCAAACATGCACTCCGGCAGTACACGGTCGAATCGACCTATTCTAACTGTACTGTCTTCTTGCATTTTTTGCGGTTTTCTTGTAATCACCGCACAAAATATTGCTAGTTTTGTTCTGATAACAATAAGAATATTCTTCGTGTAAATAAAAAAACATATTTGTCGACAAATCAATATATGTTGGCATTAGCCATGCTTTATAACTGAGACTTCTCAGATTCAATACGTGTACAATATTACGTAAACATATGACGGATATTCCATTACGTATTCAGACGTACATTAATCATCCAAACTCTTAAAATATAACAAATTTAAAACTGTATTTGGTCAAGAAAAATACCGAAACATTGTTGACAATATATCAATCTGAACTTGTCTTTGTGAATTTCGTATCTCTGCATACAATTTGAGCATTGAAGCTGATAGACCATTACATAATGAAAGGATTGACTGAATTTGTGTTCATTGTAACCTTAGTCAAGTTATCCTAGTTATCCTGTAAATTTTAGCACAAACAGTTATTAAGCGCTCTGTAATACATTTAAAAATTTGATATTGTACTTATTGGCCGGTGGCCTCTGTACCTTGAATAAATATACATTACATTACATTACATTACATTACATTTACATTACATTTACATTACATTACATTACATTACATTACATTACAAAACGGATTTAACATTTACACATAACAGTTATCTCCAAACACTGTGAAATGAATATATGCATGATGTCACGTGATGTTTGTGACAATACTTTACGTCTTTTGGGGTCATCTATCTTTCTATGCCTGAATGCTTTCTATGTCGAAGTATATGTCAGTCGTCTGTAATTTGTTATTAAATTGTTCCGTGCTCTTGGGCCTGTGATTTACTGAACGAATACTAATTGTATGTTTACTTTCCAAACTTGATCCTGGTAATGTGTTTGGTCGGTTGGACTGCAGACTGGACTGACTGGAGTCACCGACCACAATATTCAAAATAATAGCAATAACTCATGATTCCTTTTAGTGAAAATACCACACTCGTATATTTGTTCACAAGTCCTACTATCAGATTATCGCCTCCGTGCTGATTGGACCGTAACCATGGTATTGTCACGCGTACATATCGTGATATTGTACATAACGTGGACATTTATAGAGTCTAGCAATCTTACAATTGATCAACACAGGCAGAAAGAAAGTACAATGATTACATTGAATTGAAAATCTATTATTTTTAGACCTTTAGAAAATATTCATCTTGGAGAATACGCATTGGAGTTAGATCGTTTAACGCTGTAGTCGACGTGTTTTGACTTCACAACTCAGATTTAATATAAGAGTGCGGGAATACCATTTGAATGTAAATCAAAGAGGACAATAATCGCGAGAACCCCTGCTTGCTTATTGGACCGTCGCCATAGCAATGCTCACTATACCAAGTCAGGCAGAACATAAATTAGGGATGACGAACCTGTTATTTTCCGGCCATTTAGAAAGCCCAAGTTACATTAGTCTACATGTAGTCTTACACAATATATGTAACGTTTTAATATATAAATACAGAAATAGTTCATAAATTAAACCTATTGTGTCTGCTAACGTGAATGTGTGTGACATTTTTAAACAACTGAAATATGTGCCTTATATAGCCCAATGTAACGGTAATGGTTTCCCGCTAATGGTTATGTCTATTGCTATTTGTTATCGTTTCTAGTCACTAGATTATCATGTTCATTTCTGGTGCACGTGGCTTACGCAAGGTCGCTCGACGCACACAATTAAAACAATAAAATGTGGCCGGACAAATATATATTTGTACGATAATTTTAGTAATAATAACTCGAGCTACAAACTAGACTATATATAATATCTGGATGGTGACGTAATCGAACACGTGATATTGAAACTTGCAAATTGTTTATTGTGTCGGCGTCACTTTGAACGGCTCAGGACTTGATTGAGATTTAATTTGTGTTATAAAGTGGCGAATTCTTTACCACTCGCTCCGCCATAACTTATTCGGGTTAAATTCATCTGCGATTTGAAAAGTCGATTCACGTAATTGTGGAGTTTAATAAATTGAAGAACTCAACTGTTCATCACATTTAAGTGAGTATTTATAACCAGGCGCCCTCCGCTGTGGGCTTTTCAAATTCAATAAAATCTATAATGTTGTTGCAAATATTTGCAGCATGTAGTCAAATTTTAACGCCTACGTCGCCTAGCAACTATGAAATGACGTTATAACGTGAAAGTCGTGATTGATTTCTAGTGTACTGTATTAGTTTAACGTGTTTATAATTTATATCGTTGGTTACTATAAAATTGCTATGTGTAGCTGTATATTTGAACTACTTTCGGTGACAACACTGTCGTGTGGCTATGCCTGGTGACACAACGCGATCGTATACTAGTATCTTTTGCTGTAGATTGAATGACGTAATGAAATGAAAGATAAATAAATAAATACGAAAACGTAGAAAATATGTAACCAAACTACTCTTTTAAAGTTCTAAAAATAGCACGTGAAATAAAAGATGACATTCTTACATTGAAAAGATAACGTTGCCTTGTGGAACGAGACGGAACATTAAAATCGAGTTTCTGATAAAACGTAACTACAGGTATAATTTGAATAGATGGATTTACTTATAAACTGTAAATCTAGCAGACTACTGAAGGCGGTATGTTCAAACGATAACAGAACGATGTAACTGCCAAGGGATTTGATAAACGTTTTCTAAACCCTATAGTCGTACTAGATGCCAGATTCTATCGCAATCAACATCTGATAATATGTATTGCAAATTTATTATAGAAGAAAAATGAAACACACAAATATAAGATATGGAAAATGATAATTGGTTACTGTAGTCCTAACTAATCATTCGTGCAATGATTCTTCGGGAGTAGAACACGAAGTACACGAATTGTGAGTATATTAATACAGTAATATTTGCAATTGGACGAATAATGACAGACACTGCACGTACAGGTACCTTACATTTTTTGTGATGATAGTATTTCTGAAGAAACATTTATACAATTTGGAAATATGTACATATTATAGACGAGTATAATAATGCAATATCAATGTAATGTCTGTATTCCAGTGTTTATATAACATAATATTGTTAAAAACACGTTTCATGGAATACTTAGTTCTTGTATCAGCGATGTGCCCATCACGCCCTCTAGCGTCACGTTCTCTATTGAGACTCGTACTCTGCATGATACACATTGGTATGTTATTAGAAGACACTGTCTGGTCGCCAAGACATGAAGTTGACATTACTCATAGTACAATACTTTCACGTTCAATTCGTACTTACGCAATTCGTACTAGCCGAAAGAAAAATTCTACACATCGGTGGATTATTCATTTCTGAAGTAGAAAACACACCATTCCAAGGTTACAATGGGACAATACGTGCAGCTTACACAGCACTGAGGCACATTAATACGCACCCTGACAGTGAACGTATACTACAGGGTTACGAACTGCAAATGACTTGGCAGCCATCACAGGTTAGTGTCATTTTAGTATTCGCGGGGTATGGTTCGAGCTGGACGAAATAAATTGAAACAGCTATAATAATAGTTTAGTACTTAAATCTATATTCAATTAAATATAAATCCACATAATTTATACATTCGTTTCGCCACGTAGAACAAAAGATTGTAATAGAAAACAAACACGTGGCCATGGTTGCTAATCGAGTATCAATTATTTAATTAATATTTTACACGTTATAATGATTTAGCTCCAGTAAAGAAACAATGAATTGCGGTCAGGAATTATAATGGTATTCTGTATCACTTATTCGATGTCAAATGTTGTTTCTTGCAGTATTGAAATTTTTGTTTCAGTACAATACATTACATGTGGTGTAGAGCGTGCAGAACATAATAATGTGTCTTCTCAGCTATAATCGCCGAGTTCCGTGTGTTTTTCGTCCATCGATTTGGCAATATGTTTGTCAATTGTTGTATTTTTTTCCTTTTTGCATGCATCATATTTGTCGTGATGTATAAATAAGACGTGTATTTCTAAACGTGTTTTCCATCTATTAACTATTAATGTGTTGATTTATGTATATGATTAAGTTACTTGTTGATGCTAGTTGACTAACATATAAACATGTTGCAAGAGGCTGAAACTGTACGTTACCAAATTGATTGCAGATTCCAACGGAACAGACGCGAAAACAGAATACATTCAGGAAACAATCAACTATTTTAAATTTAAACTGTCAGGTCTTGAAAGATCAGTCGTTCGGATCCAACTCAGGTGGAATAATAAAACGTCAAAAGAAATTATAGATTGGGGCAAGACATATTGCTTCCAGGTGATGTCAAATTTGGTATAACCCGTTTCGCTCGAAATGTTATTGAATACACCTAGAGCGATGGAAACACACAACTGTATATTTGAATACACGAGTGACGTTGTACATTTCTTATGGTAGTCGATAGAAATAATGCACATAACAGTTTGCTCCACAATTGATATACGGTCATTTAACATTGCCGTTTCATTCAGTAATGTTTAGCGATGTGTTTCAACAATCTTATTTGCAGTCAAAGTGTCAGACCCATTAACATACAATTGAAATATCACTCATAATAGTGAGTAATATGTTGGGCATAATTGCTGTTGTATAGAAAATAAAAATTGAATCAAATTATCGTGAATTTTTTAAAGCAAAAATATCTCGGTGTTTTCTGCCTTCTCCGTAAATAACGTAAACGTATATGATTAATGATGTTTCTACAATCACCGTGTAGTGACATTGGTTTGAGTTGTGACGGTGATTTTAAAAGCTTCGAATCACAGAAAGCTATGTCCGTTGAGTTAGTATATGCAGTGCTATGTGAAAAAAAATTCCGCATCACATAATCTATCATCGTCTTATTTTTTCTCGTTGACAGACAATTAATCATATATTTTCACTTGTATACTTTTAAGGTTAAAGGGGAAATTCCTGGAAAGTATGCACTTCAACAGTCATCACTCACATCATCTTTTGCAATGAAAAACATTAAAAACGGGCATTTACAGAGATCATAACCCAGCAATAACAAAATTAACAAACATAACATTAATGTCTGTAAAAGGCGTTTAAGGCGTGTTTCAAACGTCCCGTATGACTGGACTATTCGACTGACGTAATCCTGGTGACAAGATTATGGAAACTGTCCACACAGCGCATAATTGCGAACAATTTAAAAGCATTTGAATTACCAATTATGTAATGAAACTAAATTCAAATTAGATTTTCTGAATTCCGCTAATTTTAAAATCCGCAACGAATGATTTTCTTATAAAAAATATAATTATAGAAGTTAAAATACGTTAATTTATTGAATTTGCGATGCTAACATGCAATCAGCTCACTGTACGACTTTTACCCGGGAGAACACACCACAGAGCATTGCTGTATGTGAGACCTGGCTTTGGAATAATATGAAATAATAATTGGCTTCAGATCTTAAGTTTATCAAGTTGTTTTGATTAAAACAAGCAACATAAAATTTAAACCTTATTAAATTTAAATTAAATATTGAAAAAAAAGTCTTACGAACCATATGAGTAATGGACCAACGTCAGTATAGTCACAGCATGTTACCAAATTTACGTTTTGAGAATAAAATTGAGTGACAGTTTTCAACCTGGTCAACACTGATATATGAAATTAATGTCATTTTGTAGAACGTGGCATTCTTTATTCCAAATTCGCACAGCCAATATTATCATCATCATCATCAAACCATTCGAATGTCGATGCACCAGGGAGATCGTTTATAGTAAATAATGAAGAATAACGGACGAACCGATCTACGATCCCTGGGGAACCCCTAAGATAACGGTAGCCGAGATGAAACACCGATTATCAATGACTACTTTCTGTTAACAAATTGCCATGTGCGTCACAATGATTGATTTTATACAACACGCTTATTCTATAATCTGTGTAAATGCTATCTATACCTGTCTGTCTGTCTGTCTGTCTGTCTGTCTGTCTGCAGTTATCAATGATAAGTTTGCGTGGACCTATTTATTTTCAAAACCATGTTGAGAAAAAGAGTCACGTGACTTTAAGTGTGTTGTCAAAAAGTTTCTCGATATAACCGTTCTCCATTACACATGTACAACAACGTCTAGTATTATATTCATTTGTTTTCAGTTTGTGTATTGAACCCTGTTAAGTCATTTTACACATTAAAAAATAACCATTAGCAGATTAACACTACGCATAGATAAGTATTTCAGAGAAAAACATATATTATATTACACATTTTCATAAATATAAGCCAGAAGCAATAATGCAAAGTTATAAACGTCGTGTCTCATATAAGCAATGTATCACGATTCAGTTATCATTTTGACCTATACATCCAATATAGTGAATAGTTCTATGACAGCAGAGGCCAAGATAATTGTGAATATGAATTTAATACTAAGTACTACTTTAGGTGTAAATACTGTATTTTAAAACGCATGGAATTTAAGTCTAAATTGATTGACTCAAACAAGTTTATTTAAACCGTATAAGTATATGAAGTGACATTATTTCATTGTATCGTGCTGCCTTGCAGTGGCTGTGCCAACACGCCTATCCTGGTTATTTGAGCCATGCAACGAATTCAATATTAACATTCAAAGGATTTGCGGGTAAATACCATGAGCGTAAAAGCTATTGATTTATAATATTGATTCCAGAATGTGACAAGTAGCTAACCACGAGTGGGGCATACCTTTGCTGGATGTTTGTATTAGTATGTATTAGTATGCTGAAATAAATTTCAAATCTCATAAAACGATTTATCAGAATTTACACTTTTGTATACAATTGACATTTGCAGTAGATCGGAGTGATTTGTGTATGTCAGTTTCATTAGTCTACTATTTCATTCCTGTAAACGTCTCTACTACGCCAGTTTGATCCAAATAATAAAGCCGTTTATCATTGTTCATTGTCCAGTTTTGAAACACACAAGTAGCTAAAATAATTCGACATGTAAATCATACTTCAAGGGGAGGTTGCAGTGGTGGCAAAAGGACAATTTCATTAGATTCAGGGATCTAGTTGCCATGGAAATATCAAACTTGGGAATGATTTGTGTTGAAACCCTGAAAGGCTAACATGATGTGAATAGAAGTTCTATACAAACTAAATAATTATATTAAACACGAAATCCAATGACATTCAATAGTTCTGTGACGTATGCACTTTTCCACATGCTCACATAGACTAACAGCTGTTATTTGTCGGTATTTCTATTATTGTACATTTTAGTTTATTAAAGGGCG